CAATTCAAACGAGAAAACTAACGGCCTAGTTTATGTACAAAATAATGAACGAAAAACAATATGTTACACAGTAACAAACGACAACCACTTCATCTTTTTTTAGAAATCACAAAAAATCCGACGTCTTCAGTCGTGTCCCCTAGCAACAATGAATGCCGTAAACGTTAATGCATTAATACCGAGGACATATTAGAGCTATAAAAGTTTTTATAAAGTAGACAAGTTTTCGGCCAATAACAATTGTAGGACACGTTTTGGAGAGTAAAAATTCGGACACATTTTGGAGAAGTAAATAATTGGACCATTAGGGGATGTGAAATTGGACATGTTTGGGCAATTCGTGATTTGAAGAACACCTTTGGGTGAAATGGACATGTCTATCTGAGAGTGTCGAAGATATGAGAAATCAATGGTCACAAAATTTGTGTCATTAATTTTGTTACAGGTAATCCACTGATCTGAAGGCCATAGGTGGTTGATAAAAAGAATCATTCAATTAGCATATTTATTTAAATAAAATATCACATGACCTCACAGTTGGTAACATTTGCCGACCTTCATGATAAAGCTAAAGGTTGATGGAAATAAAATCCAAATTGATTGCAAGTTATACTAAAATGGTCATGACTTACAAGTATTTTTTCTCGTAAGATTTTTTGTGAAATTAGCCGCTGACCATCCAATTTATTTTTCGGGAGCATGCAACAGGAAGTTATAAGAATCAATAATTTAACAAAACAATGGATTTGTAAACAAAAAAAAACTTTTTGTCGAGCGTGCGAAATTTATTCCGCGAAAGCGAGAATTAGCGATCCTAGATTCCGTCGTCAGCGTCGGCGTCGGCGGAGTCAACATTTAGGTTCAGTCTGTGGTTAAAGTTTTTTTTAGACATTTATAACTTTGTCAAACCTTCATGGAATTTTATGAAATTTGGACCAAAGCTTGATTATGACCTAAAAACAGTATCCAAAGCAAAATTTTGAAAATATTTATTTTAATTTTTCCATATTTTACTGATAAATGGACTAAGTTTTATTTACAGTTAATATTCAGATTCAGTCTGAGGTTAAATAGATAGAAAAAGATGTGGTATGGGTGCCAATGAGACAACTCTCCATCCAAGTAACAATTTGTAAAAGTAAACCATTATAGGTCAAAGTACGGCCTTCAACACGGATCCTTGGCTCACATCGAACAGCAAGCTTTAATGGACCCCAAAAATAACTAGTGTTAAACCATTCAACCAGGAAAACCGACGGTCTAATCTATCTAAAAAACGAGAAACGAGAAACACTTATGAACCACATCAACAAACGACAACCACTGAACATCAGGTTCCTGACTTAGGATAGGTGCAAACAAATGCAGCGGTTTAAACGTTTTAATAGGCGTTAACCTTCACCCTACCTGAAAAAGTTTGTTACACATCAAATACTTTGTCGAACATTTATAGAACTTTACGAAACTTTGGCAGAATCGTTTTTATGATAAAGAGATAATGTCTGATGCAAATTTTTGAAAAGATATTTTCATTTTCAGTATTTTTCTGATAGATGGACTATTTAGTTTTTTACAGTTAACATTTACAGACAGTCTGGGATTAAATTTTGTTAACATGCTTAATTTGTAAACCTTCATAGATTGTTATGAAACTTGGACAGAAGCTAATCTTCAAGACCAAGAAATAGCCTCTAAAGAAAAAGTTTGAACTTTTTTTTAAATTCTGCATTTAACTGATAAATGGACTCACTTTTTAAGTCAACATTACACGTTTACGCTGACAGCAGCAATGGTAGGCAAGACACAGGGTTCCGCTAAACCCCTTACGAATTTTTATTTATAAATGGAATTATTTTTTGGCAGTCACCATTGCACATTAACACTCACAACTGCAATTGCAGGTGAGGAACCCTTTCCCATTTTTTTTTGTCTTGTTGCAAAATGTATGCTGTTTTGGGCATAGTCAATGACACTAACAATTTCTTAAAGATTATAATTACAATTTTTTGACTCCAATATAATCTTTATTGACTAGGATTGTCATTCTTTCTATCAACGGTTAGTGGTTCTCTCCGGCCACTCCGGCTCCCTCCACCTATTAAAAACTGACCACTACAAAATAGCCGATAGTGCAGCAGTGACTGTGCTGAAAGTGGCCTTAAAACCCCAATCAATCAATCAATGATTACATGTAGGTTAGTTTAACAGGAACCACTTATGGGAAGTCAATGATATGAGGTATGTACTATAATGCAGTTGAAGGAGCATTTGCTTATCTGATTCTATTTATATTAAGGGGCCTGCTCCCAAAATTAATTGACTATAAACTTTATAAATTTGGCTGAGCTCATATGCTAAATTTGATTAGTTCAGTTTGAGGGGAACCAGTAATCGTGAGTCAATGATATTTTGTGTGTTGTTGTACATGTATCAGCATTATAACATCTCATCCATGGAGATTAGTTGGTCAACCCCCTTAGTCATGGTCTATTGACATTAAATCTTTGGCTTATTTACATGTTACAGCGTAAAAATAAAAGGTCGAACATCAGAAAATGACAATAAGACAACCATCGACATCATCTGACATGTACATGCATATTAATATTTTTGTGAAAGAAGTTCATCCTCTCGATCTACATTGTCATATTCCTATCATATGCATAAATAAATGCAACGTGGATATATATAACAATAAGACGACAATCAAATCCCAAAGATAATTGAAAGACATCTAGAGGTCAATATACAGTCTCGCAGAATACACAAAAGCAAAAATGTACAGCCAAATGTTGAAAAGTATTATTACATATATTTGAAAGATTTAAAATATTTCACAAGTTTTTGAGTATTAGGTTCAACCTACCATTTGATAAAACTGTGATTTCATTGCGGCTAGTCTGTAAAAAGGATGTCAATTAGAGAAGCCAATACTACTGGGACATTGATTTGAGAACAAGAAAAAGACGTCTATTAGAGAGGTTTATAAAATTGGTCATAGATTTGGTATCCTCTTTTAGCATAATGTCGGATTTGGACGTCAACTTAAGGGCATACGATACAGTTTTGATCCCACGCTGAATTTTTTTACGAAAATTTGCATACAAGCTATTTTTCACATAGTCAATTCAAATATGTAATAAAAAATATACCTTCATGTGCTAAATTTAGAGATAAATGGGGTTGAAATTGAGATTGTATTTAAAATTTCAGTTTCTTGGACATTTCTATCCTTTGGACAGACATACAAAACTTTTTTGTTTCAAAAGATAAACACATGCTGATTTTTGTTAAAATATTAGGAATATCTTCTTTAATTACTAAAGAATGCTCTTAATTTGTGTAACAATCCTTTATAAATAATATTTTTTTATTAAATTTTCATGATTTTAGAAAAAAAAGCGGCATTTTTTGCTGCATATTTATCTAATTAGAACAAAATTCATCGGTGATTTTTTCATAAAAACTGGAACAAATAATATTCATACAGTATCAATTCAAATGTCATTTTAAAACAAAGGGGTCCATGTACTCGTTTTCAGGCTTATGATTAAAATCACTCGAAAAATGCATCTTTTTCCGATATGTCGCAGTTTGACGTCGTGAAAATAACATTTTACGTTAGCAACGTCATTACCTTCCATGTAACTGTATCGTATCCCCTTGAGGAATGGAGGTCGATTAGAGCCCGGACGTCAATCTGGGTCCTACATATGTATATATATTGATACAGTTGTGACGGTAAATAGACACTGATAAGACTGATAACATTTTATAGTTTTGAAAAATTGTTCACCTGTTTACTATGATAATAGGTGGAAGTATGTTCTTATTTCAAAAAGAGGGGCACTCAGCATATATTAATTTGTGCTTTAAGCAACAACTACTTGCTAAGTACCAAATGTGTTTACCACAACTTTGTATAAGTTTTAACCCGGGTATGTACATATAATATTAAAAAATTACATGTCTTTTCCAGGTTTTCTGTAAGATCATAGATTTGGTTTTCTATTACAAAGTATATCACTGGATTGAGGTCTTTGTCTAAGTGTATTATTAAAGTGCTTTGCTTTGAGCTCAGTTTATTGTTATGCAAATGTATTCATTGTGAAATAAACTCCTCCGAAACCATACAACAGAATCTCAGGAAACTTTGTAGATAATTAGAACATTTTATGTAGATGTTCGTATCCACAAGAAGTTTTATCAGTTGACTTTTGTAGGAGTTATGAGTCTTTGAAGCATGCTCATAAAGGTTCTTTAATTGACATCATTTTCATACTGGTCAATTTTTTTTTCTTTAACTTCGACCTAGCCAAGGAGAAGACATTTTCCAAGAAAGAACTAAAATAACACAGGAGTGTGCTTTCTAGCTCATCTAGCCCCAAGCGTCATGCCAGGTATTGTCATTACCTAAAACCATAAGTTATCTTCTAAAAAACAATTTCGACATTTAAACGAAATCTTTTACCAATGATATAGGGAAGATCCTTAACTAATTTACAGTTTTTGTGGGCAAACCCAGGTCAGAAATGACCACCACAAAGGAACATAAATAGAACCATACAAATAGTACATGCATGAAAGTTCTTAGATACCATCTCGCATATTAAAATCACATCATGCAGAAATGCACCTGATATGTAACTGTCCTTATTTTGAGTATTTGCTGCTATCCAAAACCAAAGTTGTGGAACATATTTTATCAGAATCATTTGGTAATCCATGCAATAAGTGTCTCCTCCATGACAGTCTTGAACATTAAAACTAAAAATTAAATAAACGACACTGCTAATTTTGGGTGTTTGGTACAGGTTGGCTGTCAATGTGCAACACAGTTAAACAAAGAACCCTATGGGCAAAACAGAAAACACTGTCAAACATTCAAACATACTATCCACACAGATCTGTGTCCACACTTGTAAATGTAAAATAAAAAATATTTACAAATTCAATAATTAAGAAATTTTGATATTATGATATATTTATTTATTGGTCAGTTATCAGAAGTAACATTAACATAGATATTGTGATTGACCCGATATTAAAACGTTTGCAAGAGTGTTACATTCCTACAAATCCTTCGGGTGGGTTTCATTATTTCCTATCCAAATATGCTGCGCATCAATTTCTTATCATATTTCTTCATGTATAGTTTGTTTAAGAATCCACTGGGCCTTCTGGTTTCTTGTCTGTTTTACAATTGACATTTCCAGCATAGTCACAATGTTTAATGTCGTCATTCCATAATCGATCATCTTTACATGTTCTTAATTCAGGTTTATTGTGAGCACATATATAATATTTCTTGCAGTCGGTTTCATGTGGAAGGTATTCTCCTGTGTTGCATTCTAAAACATATTTCCAAAAGCATTGATTATTTCAAAACAATTTTCATAAGAAGTCCCTCCAAAAATGTCTGAGCTTGTGAAGACGAAATTTAATGAATTATGACCTCATTTTCAAGTGGCATTTTCTGTTCATCTTTTTATATACATTGTATTTACATAGTGAATTAATTGATTAACATTTTCAAAACAAAAAGGCAAGCAAAGAAACAAAACACAGAGCACAAAAAATCAAAGCGAAAATTGTTGAATAATAAAGTATTCTTTTTTAACAACATCAGTTTTGAGTTCTTGATTCGTAAACAAGTTGGTCAGTTTTGTTAGCCTCATACCTTTCTTTAGTTTGATTTGTCTGAAATTACATGTTGCGGTTGTTTTATCAGATGTAAAGATACAAACATATCAATATTATAGAAATATTTTACAACGTCACACGCTTTCTACCTGTAATACAAATACAAATAAATACCTTACCTATATCAATACATTTAGTGCCTGGTTTAGGATGATTACACGTCTTTATTTTATCATCCCAGACGGTACTTTCTGGACAAACTTTCACAAATGCCCTCTTATTGCTACAAACTATGAATTTAGTGCAATCCTGTAAATTGGCTGTATACACGGCTATATTTCCCTTGCAAATTGTATCTGAAATTTGAAGTGCAAATCTTGTAAAGGCGAATTACTTTAGATATTTTTTTTATCAGTTCCGAAGTTTTGTCGAAAATTTTTTTTCTAAATGTTTAGTAGGTGTCGCTTAACACATGTTTAGAAAATAATGCACTAGACACAAGTGAATTTCATTTACAGAGAGGCCGGCGTTGTTTGGAACAAAGGTGTAAAAGTATTTTTTTCCAAACCCATGTTGTTATCCATATTTATATTAAAAATTATGTGAAAATATTTAACTTTAAAACTGTACTGTGCGGAATATAATTTATGAGATATTTTTTATAACTTGTTTACCATTATCGCGTGATGTTAAAACAAATAACAAAATCGAACATACAACTGGACACCCATTTATTATTCTCTCGATCCGTTATCATACAAATTTTCACAATTCCTTAAATGACGCAAACTAAATTACCCGGACAGTCCAACATGTCACATGACTCCGTTTGAATATCTACTTCACTTCCTTCGCAATCTTTCCCTCCCGATTGGGGTTCTGGCTTCGTGCAGGATCTTGTTCTTTCACGCGATTTTGTACCCTTCCCACAGTTAACACTGCAATCTGACCAGTCATTAAAATTTCCATAATCTGACCAGCCACCATCCTCTAAAAGAGATTGCAGTAATGGTTTACTCTGTTTAATTTTACAAGATATGAGTAACAGCCATAGAGAATATATTAGCGCTAAAAGTTTTGAGACGTTCTAGTGTCTTAAGGATGTACACCTCTGAGGACCCAAAAATTTCTAGAATTAAACTTTTTTTTTTAACCTGATTTTTGTGTTTATATGACTGTAAAAAATAATTGGTGAAGAAAAAATCATATGGTGATGCACTTCTTTTTTGCTACAAATATTTGAAAGTACCCAATTTTGATGATTTTCCCATTTTTCATCAATTTTTACCCAATTTTGGGCTAATATTATGAAAAGTCACAGTTTCACAATTAAACTTTTTTTCATACTGTCACTAAAGATGAAGTGGACCAATCTGAATAAAATTAACTTAAAAAAACTATGGGTAGGTGTTAATATAAGAAAGTTTTATAAAATTTTGTTGCTTTATCGTGTCAAATTTACCATGTTGTCAATTTTGTAAATTTGGAATTTTTCTCTTTTTTAGAACAAAAAGCATATTATTTCAACTTCTTTGTTATAAATGATTGACAAAATACATATCTAAGAAATTTGAAAAGAAAAAATTGATATGGGATATACATGTATCTGGTAAAATCATTTTTTGTACACCTCACCCATTTTCTCAATATTTTGGCTAATGAGACTGACTTGATTGGTTATAAAATTTGAAAATCTTATTACTCAAAAACTACTTACTGTAAATACACAATTTTTTCACAGAGTTAAGTTTGATTAAAATATTTTTTAAATTCATTGATATTGACTGAAACGTCAGAAGAATACATCCTTATGGCGATTTTGGGCGATATTAAAATTTGACACGTTTGAGCAGAGAAAATAATTGGACACATTTGGGGAATTGAAATTGGATACGTTTGAGCGATTTGTAATTTTGGGATGCGTTTGAGCGAACTGGATACGTTTGAGCGGGGGGATGGACACGTTTTAGAGTGTTACATATTTATTTTTAACTCAAAGGTAAACAGTTTGTGACAACTAACTGAAGTATGTGAAAGCTCAACCTTGTAATTCAACGTGAAAATTGCATGTTTTGTTCACTGACATTGATGTCTTAGACAAGATTAAGTGTAATAAGAAATTGAAGAAGCTAGAGGCTCTAAGAACCTCCGCTGCTCACTTGGATATATGTTAATTTTCAACATTGAAGACTTAAATACGGTCCAGGTGAGCTTAAAATGAATGACTTTGATCGTACTTGGACATTCCTTAAGTCTACATGGTCTACTTTGTTCTCTTTTCGAAGACCCAACGCACTGTTTTCCGCCATGCTGAGGTTTAGGATTGTTGCATTTCCTTGTACTTAACCCGTATTCCATTCCAGCTCCACAAGTTACACTGCATCCACCATACCACCTGACATGTTCAAAATCACTCCATCCACCATCCACTATAAATAGTATACGTTATAATGAGATGGTCGAATTTTTCTGATTAATTATAAACATTTGTGTGTGACTTGTGTCGAATTATTACTTTATTCAAATAACTTTATATTTCAACTTATTTTTTAAAAAAATAATGAAATTGGTGTTTTAAGAAAACACTATAACCATTTTCTACCACATGGTTATGTCATCATTAACCCATTTCTCTGACGTCAGTCTATTGTTCTTACTGTAGATTATTTTTCAAGAATCCACTGACCATAGTATTAACTTAATAATTACACCTTATGTAAGAATCCTAGGTTTTGATTGGTTGATAGCCAGTGTATTTTTCATCAATTTACTTTTATCAAATGAATATCGTTCATTTTTAACAGCGCCGGGGTATATGCAAAAAGGATATGCCTTTCTTACCCTCTCTGCCGTGGTATTTGCCAAAAAATACTCTATCCGACTGGACGCTTGTAATGTCACGATCATCAATGCGTTTTATGTCACGATCATCAATGCGTTTTGTACGTTAACATTCGGTGTAATTAAACAGATATAACATGTTCTTGAGGGGTATTTGCGAAAAATATCAGTCTTGAGAATGAATTTCCCTCAGCTTACGGCTCGAGAAATTTAACATTCTCGCGACTGGTATTTTTCGCAAATACCCCTCCTTAACATGATATATCTGTTCAGAGAACTTATATTATAACTTTAAACTTTTAACTTTTGATCTTTTATCCTCTCAAAAACGAATGACATGTGTAGGAATCGAACCCGCGCGTATTTTCTTCATAATCAATAGAGTCTTCAGTCTATGCATGATACCACTAGACCACGATGGCTGACTTCAACCATGATATGAATAGTACTCTTAAAGCGCTTAATTGTCAATACATGTCATTTAACTGTATTTCTGTCTCATTGATAATTCGCCTTTGTAATCTAATAAAATATATATATCTTGGTTTGTTCATGTTTATTGAATTTGTTTTATTTTGGGTGTTTTTTTTTTTGACAGTAAAAACAGAAACAAAATCATCGCCATTATATGAAAATGAAATATATAATACTTCTACATGTTCTATGATTAAAACAATATTTTGGTCCAGAAAAAAAATTCAATGAAAAATTTCATTCCGGGTACAAGGTTCGAACTTTGCACTGTTAATATCACCGTTATGACATTCGATACCAACGACTAGACGATCACGGCTATGAACAGCTTGATGGTAAGTTTATGAAATCAACATAATTATTTATTGTACATCCGTAGCAAGAGCAAGTATGATGGCGATTCAGAATGCGTACCACAGATAAAACTAGTGTATTGACCGGTGAACGATATATGCCAAATGTAATAACGTTAAAATAATCTTAACTTAATGAAACGGAAACAGTTTAAGCAAAATCTAAATATAATTAATTGTTCAATTTAAATCGTAAGCACATAATTTTAATACTTTAGGAAAGCAACATGAATTTGAGCATTATGAATTGGCAGATTAATGGCATCTACGCTAATAATACTTATTTGATTAAAAAACGGCTTAACGGTGTTTAGTCTTCAATATACAAAATTATGTTGCTAAATATTATATGTATAAATTTTGTAAGGTTCTAAATTTTGGTAAATAAAATTTTTTAACTTTTCAAAACAAGATAAATTAATTCTGTATATTAATATATGTTTTTTTTGAATAAATTAAATATACCAAAATCTATTCGATTTGAATAATTTGTAATGATTAAACATTAAATGAAATATGTATATACAAAAATAAAATCTGGTGTTAAAAAGTGGAGCTAACACCCCATTTAAGTTATCTTAAACTTATGTTAACTTGCCAAATGTCTAAATATAGATGCGAACCGTGAGGATATAATCATTTCCAGCTATTATAGAATAAAAAAGACAAAATACGAAACTCTTTTTATGAAATATCGTTGATTCATTGTCAAAACGTAAAACAGACAGTCGTTTTACTAGAAATGGGTTAAGCTAGAGAATTGATAAGAAGTAGTGGATTCGGAAACGATAATCAAATTGCGACTAAAGTCGCTCGTTGATTATCGTTTACGAATCCACTACTTCTTATCAATTCTCTACTACAGAAACAATAATCAGAACTTATAACGATTTTCCGAACTAACTCTACTTTGCAGATGTTTTTTTTTTTTTTTTTTTTTTTGTATATATCGTCCACTAAAGAATTGCAATGTATTCTGGTACGCTTTTGCAATGTAAAATTCTGACTACAAATTAAAGTACTAAGCTTAAACTGGCTTACATGAACAACGACAACGGTATGTTTTGGTGGTGAAGCTGTAAAACATGAAAGCATTATTATTAATAAATGTTAGATCATTATCAAAAAACTAAATGAAATCCTATTTGAAATTGATTGGAAGCATCTCCTACTAACAGATTATACAGAAATAAAAGAAGAATGTGTTCGAAGACATGAATGCCCCCGCTCAAGCTTGCTTATAATATGTGAAAATACTTTTGGGACGGACGGAAGGACGGACGGTCAATTGTAACACTGAATGCACCCTTCGCCTAGCGGAGGGGGCATAATAAATATAAGGTTCACGAACATCCATTTGTTACTTTTATGAGACAGTGTTGTACACAAGCCGCCAAAAATATTGACAATGACACACATCGATGCATCTTATTTTAGCAGAGGGTATGACTTTTGACATTGAAATTCTAGCTAGAGCATTGGTATCAACAGGAAATGGGTATGGTGAGAGTTGGCTGAATCGAAATTAGACCGAAATCATACTGTAAGATCATACAACAAACCATAGTCATTCCAAAGGTATAGAAAGTTTTTGAATAAATTTAGTAACGAACACCGAAGATCTGTAAAGAACATTGCGTACTGTAAATGGACAAAAGTGCAACCGAGTGATATATGAATACGCAATCCCAATCAGTAGGGGAAAAGGATACAGTGAAATATTATTTACATGTATATTATTTTAAAAATTATTAATGCAAAATTATTAATATATCCACCATGTATCATAATTGGTAGTGAAAATAGTACAGTAAAAATGCAACATAGAACTATAATAGAAAAAAGACTTAATTAAACAATATCAGTGGAACAAAACGACATGAAACAAAATATGCGTCCTGTTTGAAACGCTGAATACTTGAAAAGGTCAACTAGTAGTAAATTATACATTCTGTAATGAAAACACTGTATGTTAGATTTAACATTTTTTACTTTGAAAAAATAGTTATTCAGTGTCATTATGTTTTTTTTTAAAAAACAAGCTTGTTTACTTACAAATAAAACCTTCCTACTCTATGACGCACTTTCTTCGAACATGTCTGACAGTGTCTGAAAAAAATTAAAATCTGCATTTAAAAAACTTATTCATATGTGTTCTACATTTTTTTTTCAATAACACATTTTAACACGTAAAAATTACATACCATAAATAGTATAAAAGCAAGACGGAAGTTTTCATTAGTCTAACAACTAGCAGATGACCTATTCCAGATGATAAACCCAAAGTTGTCACTTTGTACCTGAAAAAGTGTCCATCATAAAAACTTACCCATATATTTCGGATATTGTGAAAGCCAAAACCAGCAGACACAAACCAATAAGATTCTTCATGGTTGTCTTCTTTTGAAAAGTCGATTCTATTGATTTGGAAACACAATTTTGGCGCCGTTTATATCTGTGTCGGATTCTTCGAGGGTGTCTCTAATTAACAGAAATGTCCTCTTTGCGGACTGAAATATGCAAAATTCATGAATTTATCAAAAAATACCAAATGCATCAACTGTTTTCTAATTTTTGCATACGGTTTTTTGATAACTTCAATGGTTAGAAGAAATTTCTTCTCTTTAAGAAACAACAAAATCAGAAACTTGCGTAAAACTATGAGAATATTCAACGACAGAAATTTCTTCTCTCAGACCTTAGAAGAAGTACATAGAGAAGTCAGTTTAATAGAAGAAATTTCTATTATTCGATACAAAATAAAATCATTAAAGCAGTAAGTTCATTGGAAAAAACTTCTTCTATCAAACGTAATATGAATTACTTCAAGCTGATCGCTCGTTGAAAGAAATTTCTTCTATCAGAATTAAAACCTCAAATGAAATATTTAATCTTAGCCGTTAGTTTGTTGGACGAAATTTCTTCTATCAAACCTACATTTAGATCTAAAATGAAACACATGTAGATATTAGTTGGTTAGAAGAAAGTTTTTATTAAACCTGACCTAAAATGTAATATTTGTGGCAGTTAGTAAGTCTGACGAAATTTCTTCTAACAAACCTTTAATGAAATATTTGAAGCAGTTAGTCCGTTGGAAAGAAATTTCTTCTATCAGACATAGACCTATAATGTAAAATCAAATACTTGTGGCAGTTAGTAAGTTGGAAGAAATTTCTTCTATCAGACCTACATGTAGATCTAAAATGAAAAACATGTAGCTGTTAGAACGTTGGAAGAAATTTCTTCCGACAAACTATCAGACTTAGACCTAAAATATATAATCTAAATTAGAATATTTGGAGCACTTGGTTAGTTGGAAACATTTCTATCTAGCTTTAAATAAAATTAGATCATATGTAGAAATTATATTAATTATGAAGCAAATAACGTAACTGTGAGTAACATAACAATATACATGGCAAGTTATCTTGAAATCACATGAATTTACCTGACATTTTGGCATTAAACAGTATAAAAAAAATAAGTGTAGCCGAACATAATTAGGTTTGGATTTTTTTGTCCTATTTTGGGGAAGGCTATTTTCGGGTCACACAACTTTAAACTTTCATAAAAAATAAATCTGTTTGACAAGCAAATAATTCCTTTAGAAAGGCATCCCACCTTTGCACAGACAGAACAAAAATGATCGGTGCGTTCGAAGGAAATTTTCACTTTAAATTTTCTAATTTTAAAAACAAAAATATGTTTACATGAATATATAATTGCATTACCTGTTCACAAACACTCAAAATGTTACAGCGTTGAAATACAATATTGGTATGAGTATATAAGTAAATGATACATGAACGCATGCTGATTAATCGATTTAAGTAATGGCAGCTGTTATAAAACTCAAATGGGCATGTCTTTCTACACGTTTTAAATCACTGTCCATGTACATGTACATAATGTCTGTAATCACAGATGTTGTTAGACAATTTGATTTGTTTTTAAATCTAATACTCGTGGCAGTTAGTCAGTCGGAAGAAATTTCTTCTAACAAACCTTCAATGAAATATTTGAAGCATTTGGTCCGTTGGAAGACATTTCTTCTATAAGGCATAGACCCTAAAATGAAATACTTGTGGCAGATAGTAAGTTGGGAGAAATTTCTTCTATCAGACCTACATGTAGATCTAAAATGAAAAACATGTAGCTGTTAGAAAGTTGGAAGAAATTTCATCCAACAAACTCTCAGACATAGACCTAAGATATATAATCTTAATTAGAATATTTGGAGCACTTAGTTCGTTGGAAACATTTCTATCAAGATCATTTGTAGAAATTATATTAATTATGAAGCAAATAATGTGACAGTGAGTAACATAATAATATGCATGGCAATTTATCTTGTAATCACTTGGATTTGCCTGACATTTTGGCATCAAACTGTATAAAAAAAGAAATGTTGCTGAACATAATGTGTTTTGGTGTCCTATTTTGGGGAAGGGTATTTTCGGGTCACACAACTTTAAATTTTAATAAAAAAAATAAAGCTGATTGACAAGCAAATATTTTTTTTAAAAAGGCATCCCGCCTTTGTACCGACAGAATAAGAATGATCGGTGCGTTCGAAGGATATGTCCACTTAAAATTTTCTAATTTTAAAAACAAAAAAATGTTCACCAGAATATATAATTGCATTACCTGTAAGTCGGAAAAATTTCTTCTTACAAACCTTCAATGAAATATTTGAAGCAGTTAGTCTGTTGGAAGAAACTTATTGTATCAAATATAGACCTAAAATGAAATACTTGTGGTAATTAGTAAGTTGGAAGAAATGTCTTCTATTAGACCTACATCTAGATCTAAAATGAAAAACATGTAGCTGTTTTGTTGTGATGTTACACTATTGTTTCAGGTAGGGTGAAGGTTGGCGCCGCGCCTATTAAAACGTTAAAACCCGCTGCAGTTGTTTGCACCTGTCCTAAGTCAGGAACCTAATGTTCAGTGGTTGTCCTTTGTTGATGTGGTTCATAAGTGTTTTTCGTTTCTCGTTTTTTATATAGATTAGACCGTTGGTTTTCCTGTTTGAATGGTTTTACACTAGTCATTTTTGGGGCCCTTGCTAGCTTGCTGTTCTGTGTGAGTCAAAGCTCCGTGTTAAAGGCCGTACTTTGACCTATAATGGTTTACTTTTACAAATTGTGACTTGGAGGGAGAGTTGTCTCAATGGCACTCATACCACATATTCTTATATCTAGTTAGAAATGTAGTGTAATGATTGTGGATGGTCATGTAAATACTGGATTTAACCAAATTGATAACACCATTGAAAATATCACATTTATTGTACGATCATGCCGACAAGCTAACAACATCCGGTTTAACAAGTATAGCTAATTACCAAAAAGGTTAAATACCAAAAGAAATAAGAAAGTGCCAAATGAATATTTATTGATATTACATTCCTCTCCTTTTACTAAACAAATATCTTTATTTTTTCTCTTGTTTAAAATTTTTAAAAACCTAATCCCCAAAATACTGAACATGGGTTTTTTGGTTTAAAATGTCAATTGACCTGAGTATCAATTGAATGTATGAAAATACTTCAATGTTCATAATACTAAATTCTTGACTAGAATTTGATTTTCACTATAGACATTTTGATTTTCACTATATTTCCTTTCAGTTAATCTTTTGGTATGTGTGACATTTCTCATATATGTATCACGATCATCATTTTGAACAACAACACTATTTCCATGCTTCTTCAGCAGTATGAATTGTTTCGGATTAAAAGTTGTAGACAATTTAAAACCTCCATTTTGTTTCCCTAAAACAGAATCTCCTGCTTTCAAATCATTTGTTGCCGCATTCATTCTTGCATCCGTTTATTGTTTTCCTTTTTCCTTCCTTTGACTATCTCGGTCACGCACTTCTGTGTCATCATGAGAACAAATCTGAATATCCGGTAGTTTTGTGCGAAGCTTACGGTTAAATAACAATGCAGCTGGGCTTACTCCTGTAGTACAATGAAGTGTAGACCTGTAAATTTTGAAATAAGTTTGTATTTCAGTACTCAAGTTCTTTTTCTCAGAATTCGCAATACGCATGCGCTTCAACAATGAACGGTTCTGACGTTCTATCCCCCCGTTGGCAGCTGGCCATAAGGGTGTTATTCTCCTGTGCATGATACCATTTTGGTCCAAGTAGCGTTGTGTCACTGATGAACTGAGGTCCAATGTCAGTTGCGATCGAAATAGGTAAACCATGTATTGTAAACATCTTGTCCAGAGCATCCACTACTCGGTCTGCACTTGTACTTTTACTCATTTTTGTCACTTCCAACCAAATTGAATAGTAATCGACAACGGTAAATAGATATTCTCAAGACGGTAACGGTCTTAGAAAATCTGCTGATATCTGTTCGGAAGAGAAGTTCGAATCATCGGTTCTGGTTTCTCTGGGTTTGCAACAAGCTGGCACCCATAACAATACTTACAATATTCTTCAATAATCTTGTCAATGTTTGGCCACTAAACTTTTCATCTTAATCTTTGTTTCATCAAAACAATTTTAGGATGTCCCTCTTGTCTTAGCTTCAGTATTTGATTCCTCAATTCAGTCGGTATAACAAGTCTTGTTTCACGAAGAACAATATGACCTATTGCACTAAGTTCCTGTTTCACTGTCACATAGTGTATGTTTAGCAATTCATGTCACCTTCCATTTAACGAACAATTTCTAATGTTTTCAAGTTCTTTGTCATTAAGCGACAATTTATCCACATCTTCGATCTTTACAGCGTTTGGTGTAGATTCATTTGCAACAAAACGTACATACTTCTCGGATTGATTTATTTTTCCTTCATTTGATCCATTTTTCGGTAAAACTAACAACCGTGATAAAGAATCTGCAATATTCTGTGATCCTGGAATATATTTTACAATATATTTGAAAGGTTGCATTCTAAGTATCCACCTTTCAACTCGAGCACACGGTTTTGACTAAGGAGAGAATATGAATTCCAATGGAAGATGATCAGTTAGCAACTCGAAATCATGCCCGAGTAAATGCATATGGAACCTTTCACAGGCCCATACCAATCCTAACCCCTCCTTTTCGGTTTGTGAATATTTCCTTTCTATAGTTGTGAGACTTCGGCTTGCATAGCATATAACTTTGTATTCATCATTCTGTTTCTATACAAGAACGGTACCTAAGCCTACAGGACTGGTTTCTGCAATAACTTGAGTTTTTGGATTCAAGTTGAAGTAGCTTAAATTAGACGCATCCACCACACTCTTCTTTAACTTTTCAAACGAATCATTTTGTTCTGGTCTCCAGTGAAATTTTGTGTCTTTGTGAAGTAAGCGGTGTAGTGGTTCTGCTACAGTTGCTACATTTGGTATGAAACGACCAACAAAATTAACTAATACAAGAAAAACTCCTTATCTCAGAAACTGATTCTGGTCTTCTAGCATTTTCTATTGCTTCAACTTTAGACTGAGACACACCAATTCCATGTTCTGATAACATATGACCCATAAATTCAATGTTTGCCATATTGAATTTGCACTTGTCAATATATTAAGTGTCAGTTTTGTCTTCTAGTCTTTGAAAAAAAGCACTGAGTCTTTCATTATGCTCATTAGAAGTTGATCCATAAAAAACAACATCATCAAAACTTTTTCGTACTCCTTGAAATACTTGACTCATTACTTTGTTATACATCTCCGAGCGCAGTTTATTCAAAACATAAGCCTTTCGCGCTATTCCTTTATGCGTTATGAAAGCAGTTATCTTTCTTGAATCTGGTGTCAGTTCAATTTGATGGTACGCAAGATTAATATCTAACTTGAAGATTTTACTTTGATTCAAATCTTAATTACCTCATCCACAGTTGGTATCGTGTACCTTTATCGCATGACTGCTTGATTTGACCGCCTCATGTCAACGCATATTCGAATATCACCATTCTTCTTTGGTACAACCACAATTGGCGATGTTCACTGACTTGGTCCATTTACTTCCTCTATAATGTCCTGTTCTATAAGTTCATCTAGTTTTTTTTCTTTCTGAGAAACCTGGTAACTAATACAAGGTCATAAAATGATTTTTTTGCAGTGTTTTTGTTTTGTTGCTTATCAAGAAAGCTTTGAAGACCACTGGAGATTGAAATTTGAGACTTCGTTCGACATTTTCTTCGAAGTTTTAACAGACGAAATTTGGGGGGAGGGTTTATGGCATTGGATAATGTTGGCTTTTCAAGAATCAATTGAAAATGTCACAAATTCTAAAAACAAAGAAATAAGAAAACAAAACTATCGAATCTATTATTACTTTTTTCATTGTTATTATTAATAACAGTGACAGAGTTTATCGCTAAACGATTGTTGACATAATTGCCACGGAAGCGACGTGACATTGTTGATGAAATAAAGAAGTTCCGGTAAGTAAGCGTGGCTAACAGGTTAGTTGAGGCCATTGACGTATAAAGCTTACGTTTATACGTATAGCTTTATCTGTATTGTAAAATAACTGATTGCAGTATAAACCTCTTTGAACTACATTTGTCTATTACTTGGTCGCAAATACCCTCGTCTACATTAGCAAAATTGCAGTAAATTGCTTTCTGTCGTAACCTATTTATAAATTGTTCAATAGTTTCTTCGGGGTTTTGTTCCATTGCCCGAAATTGGTTCCTTTGAAAAGAATTATTAACTTGAGGTGTAAAGTGATTGTTCAAAATTTCTACAGTTACGTCGTACACTATTTCCTCTTCTCCTGGTTCTCGTTCTTCCAGCGTATAATACATATCTTGTACTTCATTCCAGCACTTTGCAACAATAATGCTTTCTTCTGTTGTGCCTCGACAACTCCTTTACTTGTTGCGTACAAATTAAACGATCGAAGCCAGCGTGCCCATCTTTGTCCCAACGAATTAATGTCATTTCCAACGTAAAAAAATGGAATTAAAACCACATCAGACAATATTGGACGTGCATCTGCCATCTCATGTTATCCTCGATTATCCTCGTAGCCAAATTGCAGTGTATTGATTGTTGATGGTCATGCAAATACTGGATTTAACCAAACTGATAACACCATTGAAAGTATAACATTTATTGAACGATCATGCAGACAAGCTAACAACATCCAGTTTTACAAGTATAGCTAATTACTAAAAAGGTTAAAGGTTTTACAAGTATAGCTAATTACTAAAAAGGTAAAAAAAAGAAAGTACCAAATGAATATATGTTGATATTACAAGAAAGTTGGAAGAAATTTCTTCCAACAAACTATCAGACTTAGACCTAAAATATATAATCTTAATTCGAATATTTATTTTACTTATATGTAATATAAATATTGTTTATACAAACAAGCATTCCATCTTACAAATATAATTAATACCTTGTGAAATCTGCTAACATCATGGATACATTTAACATACGCAGACCACCTGTTATATTTTGAGAATAATTTCTATGGCATTTGACACTTTGAAGTTACAAATGGAATCTCACCAGAAGGCACATTTATCTTTTCTTAATCAGATACATGTCACAAACAATCAGTCTTGGTGAGAACATGCAGATTATGATACCAGATCTTATATAAAATTTATTACACAGCAATTAGTTTATTATCTGAAGCCCAGTGAGGTAAGTCTCCTCCTACAATATGACTGATGTACCCAATCTGTGTGTAAAGCCATATGCATAGTCTTTGTATAATCAATTTCTTGGTTCATAACAGTCTGACTAGTTAATATAGTTAACAGTGCTAATATTCAATTTACCACCAACCATCCCCTTCATAACATCTTCAATAATGTTTCATGACAAAGGAAACATCTCAGCATTTTTACTAGTGAGATATATTTTTCTTTTTTATATTTCCTTGATGGAATTTTATCACTGTTCATTTCTAAAATTTCATTCATCCCCAAGCATTTCGGGGACAAATTTTATCAAATTCATTCAAGCGCCAGTTTGATAGACCCCTGCTACTCTACTAGCATATGGGCTATCCCCATGCAGACGCATACCCCGACTGCAGATGAGATGTCTAGGCTTATCCCCTCGTGGAGACGCCTCGCTCTTTCGACATTCCTATGCTGGCGCATTGTTGGGCAGGCAGGTTCTTCCTCACACTGAAGGTTGCAAGCTGACTTGCTAAGGCAGGAACTCAAAATTCTATTTTCATGCTGAGTGCTTTTCAATGGCCAAAACTAGTTTGATTTTAGTATTATTGATAATAGAATTATTATTTATTCTACATATCTTTCTGCTTTGAGCCGGTATGATTTGCTGAGACTATGTTTTGGTTTACACACAGAAACTCCTTATGTATAACGTGCTTTAGTTTGTTTGGAGCTTGTATTTGGTCTACAATGATCAATTATGTGAGTTGTTGTCTTGACTTTTACATAACACTCTGTAACAATCAGCTGAACGTTTTAATCATGTTCTATTTTGAAGGAAATATTAAGCTTCTCAAGAATCCAAATTAGTGTTTGTCAAACTGCTATATATCCAATAATTATTTTCCGATAAAGTGCGTGGTTCAAATTTTTTTTAATTTTTATATATTTGTCAAAGGGTCAAAGTAAATATATTTTGTCAAAATTTTATGAAAATTAAACGAGCCAAATTAATTTTAGTCAAGGTGTTTGGTACCACTTTAATTGAGATTTGCTCTATCAGTAGAGTTTTACTTGAACTAAATATTGGACTCTGGGACTTCTTATCAATATACACAGAATATAATTTATCTGAAATTACAGCTGTAAAAATACAGGTTGATGTGATCATTAAACATTTCATTTCATCAGTGGAAGGCTTGCATAACGAAACTTAAGTCATTGGGACAGGTTAATACAATATATCTCAAAATATCTAGTATGCCTACCATTGGGACATGGAATGTTCTGCTCACAGACATTAGACATTTGAAATATGAGTATTTGCATACCAATTGACAATAACAAAATATTAAACAACCACCTCCCAAAACTATCTAGCCTTATATAAAATAAAATTAGATCATTTGTAGAAATTATATTAATTATGAGGCAAATTACGTGACTGTGAGTAATTGAACAATATGCATGGCAATTTATCTTGAAATCACATGGATTTACCTGACATTTTGGCATCAAACAGTATAAAAAAGAAGTGTAGCTGAACATAATTAGGTATGATTTTTTTGGTCCTATTTTGGGGAAGGGTATTTTCGGGTCACACAAATTTAAACTTTAATAAAAAAACATAAACCTAAAACAACCAGACCAAAGAGCAGAAAACATTCCAAGGCTACCAATGGGTCTTCAACACAGCGAGAAAATCCCGCACCCGGAGGCGGGCTTCAGCTGACCTCTAAACAAAAATGTGTACTAGTTCAGTGAGAGTGGACTTCACACTAAACTCCAAAACATATAAATGAACTAAAATTAATAAAAAATACAAGACTACGAAAGGCCAGAGGCTCCTGACTTGGGACAAGCGCAAAAATGCGGCGGGGTTAAACATGTTCTGTGAGATCTCAACCCTCCCCCTATACATCTAGCCAATGTAGAATAAACAAACACGCAGCAATGCGCACAGTAAAACTCAGTTTAAAAGAAGTCCGAGTCCGATGTTATAAAAGGTAACAGAACAAACTTAGCAAAATGACAATGATACATAAATTAACAAAGGACTGCTAGACTTCAATTAAACTGATTGAAAGATTATGTCTTCATCATATGAAAACGAAGCACAATCCCTCCCGTTAGGGGTTTAGTATCATGCCATCATTAAATATATGAAAAGTACATAACCCGTATCATGCCAACAACTGGCTTTATAATAAATGTGTTTATTTCCGATGTATTTCTGTTTGACAAGCAAACAATTATTTTAAAAAGACATCCCACCTTTGCACAGACAGAATAAGAATGATCGGTGCGTTCAAATGATATGTTCATATTACATTTTCTAAATTTAGAAACAATAAATGTTCAAAAAAATATATAATTGCATTACCTGTTCTCAGAGACACTCAAAATGTTACAGCATTGAAATACAATATTGTTATGAGTAAGTAAATGATACATGAACGCTTGCTGATTATTCGATTTAAGTAATGACAGCTGTTATAAAAATCAAATGAGCATGACTTTCTACACGTTTAAAATCTCTGTACATGAACATGTACATAATGTCCGTAATCATAGAGGTTTTTCGACAATTTGAATTTTGTTTAAATTTACGGAATTTCCATCTGCTATACAATGTAGGGTTCCAAAAGGTTAATAAGACAGCAACCCAAATTCAACTATATTTGAAAAAAAACGATTTACCATTTTACTTCCAATAAAATTATTTTTTCTATAATCAATGTCACTTTTATTCATGTTTTCCAAAATATTTTAGAAAAACGCAATCAAGAGCAATGATTATTTTTTAAGATTATGATCTGAACCATTTTTAAGCAGGTATAATTTGTTTAGATTTTCATCAATTTTTAAATCGTAGTAAACTGTTTGAAAATAGGTCTAGTATATCAAAACATTCCGGAGTTACATTGTAACCTTACTTTTTATAACATCTTATTCAATATAATTTACATAATTAAATAAATTGAGCATTTGCATGAGCTGTCCTATCTTCATCAAGGAATTGTATATTTAAAGATAAATAACAGTCTTAAGTTTTAGAATAAGGTTTCAGCTTTATAATGATATCAACTATTTTTTTTTATTTTTTTTTTTTTTTGCCTTTCATGGTTGTCGAGCGTTTAGAAAAAAATTAAAAACACTGTATTTTTTGTTTTGTAATCCGGATGAAACTCTCTCAAATTTGACGACCGAGGTCTATTTTAACAAGACTTTTAATTAAACGTTTAATGCAAACATAGGTCGAAAAGGCATAACAATGATACCTAAGGGGTTACCTTTTACATGGAAGAATAGTTTATACTTGTCTTGTGTTATATCCTCCTTAATATCTTCTCAATCAAAATGACCCACTGAATTCAGATGACCGATACATATATAACAGAAAATGGACCTCCGTTATGATTCTTTATATTATTTCTCATACTTCCGATCGAAACAGACAAGGATTATCGCTCTGCGAGAGTCCCGATTAATCTCGATCCGTTTCCATTTCCTTTAAATATACAATTCCTTGCCTACATCAAGGAATTGTATATTTTAATATACAATTCCTTGATTAAACAGAAGAAAATCTGTGGAATGTCATCAGTTGCAATATGTATTAATTAAAAAATTACACGTGGACAAGATGTTCCCCAGAAAATTAAGGTACGCCTAATCAGTTATGCACACCCCAGGGTACACGCTACTGTCACATGGAAAATTACTGCTTCACCTGTAATCAGACATGTAACTAAACAGTTGACCGACCATGCCACTACAGCTATAAAAGTTTTTCGTTAAATCAAAATGAAAATCTTTATTTATATTAAAAATTTTAGAACTAAAAAGAATCTACTTTGACATTTAAGAAGTAAATTAATTTAACATGAAAAAATCGGATTATTTTCCAAAGATTAAGAGACAATTATTTATCTATTCTGGGATTGATAGAAAAATGTATTAGTCCCAGATCTATATAATTCTAAATCAAAGTTATTTACATAAATACTGGGACATAATATAAAGTTTTAGTAATGTAAATATGCCAGATAGATACACATGGATTGTTTGATGATACCTATTGGAATAGCTAAATGCATGGTTTTGACAAATGTAAAAACTAATGTATAATTAGTCATAATGGTAATATGAAATTTTATAAAGGGTCCCATCAAGGATCTCTATACAAATCCTTAGCTTGGTCTCATGAAATTAAAATCACACAGACATGCATAAGATTTATACATTTATTTCTTGAGAAAAAAAAATTAGGAGGAAAGTATAACCAAGGATTTGTATAGTGTTACAAATCCTTGGTATAACAAATATTTAGCTTTGAATGAAAATTATAAAATACGACATTGAGTTTTGAAAAAAGTTTATGATTGGGCTCAAAAAAATAAATAAGTTTTTGATTAAAGATGGAAACAAATTCTCTGTCCTAAATAAAAAAAAATCAACGTTCCGATTTTTTGCCACACCTACACACATACGCATAAGATGAATGGTGGGGCTCAAGTAAGGTCACAAGGTCAAATTTTAAAACTGCCTCATGTCCCCCAGTCTCGTAAAGCAAATTTGACTGTCATTGTTTTTTTTTATCCAACAATTATCGGTTTGGAACATTCTTACAGGTCATGTCGTAAAGTCGCAAGTCGGATTTGACCATCGTTGACAATGGTTATAGTCTTAGTCTTAGATATAGATCAAGCTTGTTATATTGGCGAATTGTACCTGCAGAATGTCCGAACTGCATAGGCTCTGTATGTATCCGGCAATCTGAACAAATGTAGATCTATCTTTATCCGCTAATTGTTTTTCATTTGATTGAACATGAAACTTTATTGAGGGAGGTAAAGGGTTTTTTTGCGTCCAACGCGGTGTTTGCCATTTTTATTTCACATGTTTTCGTGCTTAAAGCTTATTATTCACCGTGTTTCGGGCAAGATGGTGAAAAATAACGTGCAAAGTATTTTTTGTAATATTAAGTCATAGTACTGTCAGGTTCACAGTCATATATTTAATAGAATAGAAAAACAAAGGATATGAGGTATCCATCCATGACACAAAATCAGTACATGCACAGCAAAAAAACACACAAAAAGCAAAGGAACAACACATTTATTGCTAATAAATGTACATGCAATTCATCTTTAGATTCGTGTGTGAGACCACCGACACTATTTATATTAACTCAAAGATAGAGGTTCTCCTTCAATTGGAAACTCATATCTGATCCGATCAATTTATCGCTTCCATTCTCCTATTACTAGTGATCCATTTGCAGTGAGCTGTGACAAATTGAAACGGTGGATGTTGATTTTTTATAATTACACATATGTGGACTCACTACTCCGGACTACTTGCAAACAGACAGTTACTTAGTTCACTGTTTCTGTGGCTACGCATCACAGACACTTGTTTCTATCCATGGGAAGGTCGGCTACCCATATATAATACAAGAAGGTGGCTAACGAATATTTTTATGTCACGACCGTCTTCGCTTCGGAGGCTTTTTGTTACCTTTAACTTAATGTAAAAATTCCTGCCTTATATTAATCGATTCATTGAATATTTTCCTTTAACATTTAACAAAATTTATATCCCCTCAGTGTTCCTCTTTATGGTAATCTTACTAGTATTCACTAAACCGTGGTGACATTTTTAACTAGTAACTTTTCACTGTATTCACTTCCGGTTGGCATCGCAGTCAATATAACTTTGTTTCCGTTAACTGAATTTCCCTCTCGTAAATAGTTATCAAAGGTACCAGGATTATAATTTAATACACCAGACGCGCGTTTCGTCTACATAAGACTCATCAGTGACGCTCAGATCAAAATAGTTATAAAGCCAAACAAGTACAAAGTTGAAGAGCATTGAGGACTCAAAATTCCAAAAAGTTGTGTCAAATACGGCTAAGGTAATCTATTCCTGGGATAAGAAAATCCTTAGTTTTCGAAAAATTTAAAGATTTCGAATCTGTATCCTTTTTGCACATCCAAAATAGAAGATCGAGGAATTTCTTTAGAGTTACCGTATACATTCGGAATTCTCTAGTATTTATTTATCCAATTCAAACAAACTTGGTTTCTGACTTTCTAATTTATTTATTTGCAACGAAAACTTACTTATATTGGCGATATTTATTCTTTAAAAATATATAATTAATGAAAATGATAACACAGTAATTTTACAGCATCATCTGTTTTTTTAAAAAGATAACATTCTGCTCTGAAACAGGCCAACCGGAAGTGAATATAGTGAGAAGTTACTAGTTCAAAATGTCACCACGGTTTAGTGAATCACAGTAAGATTACCATGAGGAACACTGAGGGAGATATACAATTTGTTTAGTGTTAAAAAGGTAACAAAAAGCCTCCGAAGCGGAGACGGTCGTGACATAAAAAAAAATTCGTTATCCACTTTCTTGTATTATATATGGATAGTCAACCTGCCCATGGATAGAAACAAGTGCCTGTGCTATGCATGCTTCTTCAGAAAATTATTTTCATTTTTGTTCATCCTTTAATCCTATCTTATGAAAGGTTATTTATTTTCAGCTCTTGCCAGGCCAGGTTATTCCTTCTAAAAATCCTCGCCCTTTTTACTCGCCAGAAAATCAAATGGCTGTCCCCTTACACATACATGAGTGTCATGACCTAAAAAATATTCATATAAAAATGTATCAGATTTGCCAATGCGACAATTCTTCACCAGAGACCAAAGACTTAGGTTAACAACTATAGTTCACCATACAGCCTTAACAATGAGTTAAAACCCATACTGCATTGTAAACTATAAAAGGCACCACAAAAGCCAGAGAACATCTGACAAGGGCAGAAATGCTCCGAATGTTGAAATCTACCTTCTGTCCATTTACACCAAAACTTGTCAGCTGACTAATAGGAATTGTTGCCCTTAAATAAAGATTTTAACCAATTTTATTTCTTCATAAATTTGCCTTTTTATCTTGAAAACTAATATATAAAGAGAAACTGTTAAATCTTATAGATGTTATTGCCCTTCAATGATGATTTTTACCCATTATCTGCATATTTTGCAACATAGAAACTTTAAATTTTGGGTCTACTCTTTGTAGGAGTTATTGCTCTTCAATTATGCCTTTTGTATTGCCTGCCACGAAAGTTGCAGAATGTGAGACATAGGGATTATAATCGGTTGCGTTGGCGTAAACTATTTTTATAAAGCTTTATATTTCAGAAGGTGGAAGACCTGTGATCAGTTTTACAAAAAATCTTATAACCAACTAAAGTTGATTGTAAGTATACTGAATTGTTCATGACCCTCAATCAACTTTAGTCATAAGAATTTTTGTGAAACTGATCACTGGATGCCTTATACTTTTTATGCAGATAATTATGTTTTGAAGTTTCCATCTGTCGTTTGTCTATTGTCCTTGACC